TTATAAGAAATGGATAAGACAAGACTTGACTGACTGACTGATTTTCTACCCCACTAGGACATCACACAAGCGAAAACACCCGATGACACAAAGTGCCACCATGTGGATAAGAATCACCGTGGAGAGGTCCCAGAAACCGCGTTCAGACAATTGGCCATATTAATAGCCTGCCTATTTTGCGGCCCCTGGAAAAAGCCAGGATGGGGCTTCAAATGACAAAAAATTGCATCCTTAAAAGGACGTGGAACCAATTATTTTGTACTTAGGTCCTTTTTGTGAGTTGAACAAGTGTTCCAAGGTGTTGCCTGAGAACATCGGAAAACACCTATTCACTAAAGTTATGAAGTAGCAACGAAAAAATGTTGCAGTTTGGTGGGGAGGGGGTGGGTGTGGGGGAGGGGGGGGGGGGTCACCACAACATGAGGAACTGTTTTAAGGGTCGCGGTTTTATAAAAGTTGAGAATCACTGCTCTACGTTGAGCCATCATCAGGAAAGGCTCAACCATGGGCCTTTCAAACATCCAAGTCCTAAAACAGGTTTGGCAACGAACCGCCGGACATGGAGAGCTATGATCTCTGCCCTATGCGCGCCCTAGGCCCAAGAGGAAAGACTGACTGACTGACTGACTGACTGACTGACTGATAAACTAGCTAGCTAAATAGCTAACTAACTAACTAACTAACTAACTAACTAACTAACTAACTAACTAACTAACTAACTAACTAACTAACTAACTAACTAACTAACTAACTAACTAACTAGCTAGCTAGCTAGCTAGCTAGCTAGCTAACTAACTAACTAACTAACTAACTAACTAACCAACCAACCAACCAACCAACCAGCCAGCCAGCCAGCCAGCCAACCAACCAACTAACTAACTAACTAACTAACTAACTAGCTAACTAACTAACTAACCAACCAACCAACCAACCAACCAACCAACCAACCAACCAGCCAACCAACCAACCAACCAGCCAGCCAGCCAGCCAGCCAGCCAGCCAACCAACCAACCAACCAACCAAACAACCAACCAACTAACCAACTAACTAACTAACTAACTAACTAACTAACTAACTAACTAACTAACTAACTAACTAACTAACTAACTAACTAACTAACTAACTAACTAACTAACTAACTAACTAACTAACTAACTAACTAACTAGCTAACCAACTAGCTAACCAACCAACCAACCAACCAGCCAACCAAACAACCAGCTAGCTAGCTAGGTAGCTAACTAACTAGCTAGCTAGCTAGCTAGCTAACTAACTAACTAACTAACTAACTAACTAACTAACTAACTAACTAACTAACTAACTAACTAACTAACTAACTAACTAACTAACTAACTAACTAACTAACTAGCTAGCTAGCTAACTAACTAACTAACTAACTAACTAACTAACTAACTAACTAGCTAGCTAGCTAGCTAGCTAGCTAAATAGCTAACTAACTAACTAACTAACTAACTAACTAACTAACTAACTAACTAACTAACTAACTAACTAACTAATTAACTAACTAACTAACTAACTAACTAACTAACTAGCTAGCTAGCTAGCTAACTAACTAACTAACTAACTAACTAACTAACTAACTAACTAACCAACCAACCAACCAGCCAGCCAGCCAGCCAGCCAGCCAGCCAACCAACCAACCAACTTACTAACTAACTAACTAACTAACTAACTAACTAACTAACTAACTAACTAACTAACTAACTAACTAACTAACTAACTAACTAACTAACTAACTAACTAACTAACTAACTAACTAACTAACTAACTAACTAACTAACTAACTAACTAGCTAGCTAAATAACTAACTAACTAACTAACTCACTAACTAACAAACAAACTAACTAACTAACTAACTAACTAACTAACTAACTAACTAACTATGAATTCCAGAGAAATTTGACTAAAAAGCTCAACAAAATGGGAAAGAGGAAAACGTGCACAAAACAACACAACGTAACGTTTCGGCTGGGCAGCCTTTTTCAAACACAAGTGAAAGACACAAACGAGGAATGGAGAGTATGTAGATCTCTAAGGGGTGACGTGAGCGACGTTTAAAAAAATGTGATGCGGAATAAATGAAATAAAATAAAATAAACGATGGCTAAAAAATATAGTCACAATACTGGGAATAAAAGAAATGCAAGTGTTAATGATACATAAATGATACTGATAAGAAATAGAATAAGGTAATAATATGAAATAAAATAAAAATAAAAATTAACATTTAAAATGTGATAAGATTAGAACTATTTAGATGAAGGTATGTTGGATATTGATACCTCTTGGACTAAGAACGCCAAGGCTGTGGATAAGGCGATTTTCCAAAGCGAGGCGGGTAGTATGATCCCCAGAGCAAGATTTTAATGCTGTGACAGATATGTCATCTTTACCGCTGTGGTCAGGGCTATTAAAATGAAGAGGGATTGGTTTGAGTGTCTTCTTGTCGATATCGGAGAGGTGTTCCCGGAAACGATCAGC